TATAAGTAAATAGTCAAACAACTTTATTTGAATAACATTGCCTTGCATTTTCGCCATTCAAATATTGTTTTAATAATTATCATCTATAACATGTTTTTTGTTTCTGTACTTATGACAATAGATTGGTTTCCATTGAGTCATTTACTCTTCTAAATTTATATTCATGTTAATGTAGTAGATCTATACGACTATTTTTCTCTCTAGTCGGATGGATTGAGTGCGCATGCTGGCCAGACTTTATACTGGTGGGATTGGTCTCTCATTAACATTCCCAGCGCTGGGAGAACTTGTATTTTTATACCACTTTTGCCTCCGATGAATTTATAAGCATCATAGAAATATCATACGAGTATAACTACTTTATGCACTGGTCCATCATTATCAACAGCCTTGCTTTCAATCAAAATAGAAAATCACAGGAAGTCAAGAAATTATTATTAGATGAAATGTATGTAAGCTTTGCACACAATTTTCCGTCATATACCATTCTCGATGGAATTTTCTTTTCAGAAATAAAATACATGTATATATTAAATAGGTATTGTAAAATAAAGGTTATTTCAATCTGTACATTGATCTATAAAGATGAAACTATTACTGAATAAGACGTACCGCCGATTCTTGGTGAAACATTACTCTCCTTCGAATTAACAAACGTTGCCTTGGTATGTGCTCGTTTTGTTCAATATGTTATCAGTGGTTATTTTGTTCTTCTCCAAAAAAAAAAAAATAGCTGTTGCAACATGTGCGAGAATGGAATGTGAAATCGTTATTGACCAGCCTTTCAATCGGACGAAACAGATGGACAATCACACCTTACCTAAAAATATTTTATTTTTAAAGATTAAAAGTTTCAGAAAATGTTGTTTTTTCTTTACTCCGTTGACGCATTTGAGTTTCCTTTTCTTACATACCTTTGATGCCATTTAAAAAGCACATTGCAACATAGCTCAGAATCATAGACAGCATGAAGCTTTAGTTCTGATTCTTACATAATGATTTATGATCAGGGAAACATTATATGGTGTAATGGTGTTAAGGAATGTCCTGAGTCCTGAGGTACGAGTAAAGCAATAATCAAATTTGTTATCAAAAGCGGGTGCGTAGGGGTGGGTGGGGTGTAGGAATATAGGGAATTACTTCCAATTTCCAATTTAAAGGAATATGCAAGTTGTAGCCACAAATAGTATCCTTATTATAGCTGGACCTAACAAATATCAAAATGTGGTGCATATAGATGAAAAGAAAATATCGTAAATATTCGTCAACAATACACACCGTAAATATTCGTCAAAAATACACCCCGTTATAAGTAAAATGAACCTCATCACCGAAAGAAATTAAAATAAATATGCAATTTGTTATTATAGAAATTTATCACAATTCACGATGCTTTACAGAATTACATTTTAAAGATCAGCTCTAAAACGTCATAATGTAACTTGACGAAAATTTCATAACGTCTGCTGCAAAAATCATAAAAATGACTTTAAACAAAAATGACTAGTAAAAGTAAAGTATGAACTAGATAAAATATGTGTTTGATTACCATATAAAGTCAACGTTTTTATCACGCCATTTGCCTTAATATTACATATGTTGTTTTCCATTTGAAATATATTTCAATTCAATGCAATAACAAGAACTCTACTGAGGTCTTGAAGCATAAAACATAAAATTTATATTTTTTTAAAAGATAATTTGGGAAACTTTCAACAGAAATATACGCAAATGACTACAAGTGGGGGCGCGGCCGAGTGGTAAACGCGTCGGTCTAGTAATCTAGGGATACCTATAAGGATTGTTGACAGTGTGGGTTTACAACCCCGTCAAGGGCAAGCCGCTGTTTCTGCGAACAGGAAACTTTACATTCATTGCTTAGTACATGTTGGTTCCAGGAACGGATTCGAGAGTGTTTCAATAAGCTTATTGCTTTCAACACAATCAAACTTAAATGAATTAGTACGTCAAACCAAATGACAAATATAAAAAACACCAAGAAGCAGTGGGTCCATTGCATCGGCAGTGGACAATGGCGGTGAATCAATATGTCGTCTAGTTTATTTTTTGCTGGCATCGGTATGTTTAAAACCGATTTCTTTTTAATGTGTTACCGTTTTACTGGAAACACCTAGTGAGACTAGAACCCATTCGTATGTATTCTTTTTCATATATGTTTGACATAGGAACTACACCATCCACTGTATAAACATTATTTTATTATTAGGCAGGGAAACTTAACATATTATGTTAATATAGACAAATCCTGCAGATTAACCTTTGAACTAAAAAGCTCATACATGTCTTCCAAAATGTAATAATTGAAGGGTCACAATTAGTGATGGAAATCGGATGAAATTTGTCCCATTCGATCATCGGTTAAGTCGGATGGGACATAATCGATAACTTTTTGAATAAAGTCGCGTTAAAAAGAAATAGGGAAGTATCATTTCTTCCCAATCTTCCCAAGGCACTTGATAACATTCAGTAACATGAACTTCATTTTCCACTTTTCAACATAGTTTTAACCTTATATAGTCATAATTTTACGAAATAGATTTTATTTTTCAATGGATGTCAAATAACATTCAAATCACATTATATTACTATTGATTACATTCACGTATTGATCCTGTTCAACTCCAAATTGTCTCTGAGATGATTTTTTGAGATCGGTGAGGTGTTCTTTAAAGAAAATTAACGTCAGAATTAATTCCCTTTGATACTTTACTGCAGTAAGCATTTTCGACGACGTCGCGGAACAATTTTTTTGTAAATCGATTATTGTCGCTTTACATAACAGTAAATGATTATCGGCGACTTGTGACAATCGGAACATCACTAGTCACAATGAAGTATGTCACTGAAATACTTTTTATGGGATTCTAATTAATAGGGGTCTTCTGTATTGCTGGCAATACTATTAAAAAAAATGCTGTCGAATGGTATCCAAAATGTTCAGACAGAACAGTGAAATCAATCTGATAAAACGAACAGAAGAAAATGGCTTTATTATTTGGGAAGGATTTTGTCTTATAAATGTCAATGAATGAATGTTTCACTGAACATATAGATAATTGTGTTTTCTATCATTGCGTTGACATTTGTTAATGTCTGTCTATAATATATTATTGGAAAGAAATGTCAGACAGACCTTTAGACATGTATATGTTAACTTATGTTAAAGCTGGCTGAAACAAGTTTTCCTCCCTTAAACTCATAAAACTTTTGCAGTAAGTTCCTAAAGAAGTCAAAATAGAAAACTTAAAGATTGCCAAACATGGCAAAGTACTGAAAGCATGAAAAAACAATCGTACCGAAACTGGGCACACGTGCTTTCACTTTCTGACATTGCATGTATAAAGCTATCTATTTAAATACATTACATGTATAAAGTTATCAAGTTGATTTTTAAACAAGTATATAAATAATGTAGGCCTACTTTTAAAACAACATGATCTGGTTTGGTTAGAAAAACACTTAAATCTATTCACCTCGACACCCGTATATCTGTGAGGGTATTTAAGGCAACCCTAAAAAAAAATGTTGAGCGTTCTTTGCGTTAATTATTCTTTGCGGTAATTTGGCGCAGTCTCCGCCATGTTTTAATAAGAAAGAATAAAGGCAATGAATAAACAAAATATTCTTTTCTTTTTAGGTAAGTATTAACAAGTAAGACAAAGAAAAAGACTTTCCACGATAGGTTTATTCATTGTTTTTTTCGTTTATCATAACTGTTATCAATGACATGGTATTGTTTTGTTGGCAAACATGTTTAAATTTTAGAGTCATGTTTTCGCGGATAAACGTTTTGCATACGTATTTTGAGATTCAACTTTTGTTGATGCGCCATTGACAGTCAATGTCTGTTATAGATAGAAATGCAATGTTCATGGTCTTTTTCACCCTATAACACAAGCGTAATTTGATGATACAAAATAGAACGATGAAACAATGAAACACTGACCCGGCCATTTGAAGTACCAATGCTGAAAACAAACCACTAGAAAATGACAATGAAAGTGTACTTCAAAAGTCATTGTTCATTATTTGAAGAAAGTGTTCTTCTTTGTTAGTCAAGAGCTCTTCATTTCTGGACTTTGGTTTTGAATTTTAGTCGGTCAAATGCTTATAGGGCAAGATATTTTTAAAAAGTAATAAAATGAATATTAGGGGAAGGAAAGATAAAAAAGTGATGACAATCACTTTACATTAAGATTAGCTCGAACTCACTGTTCGGTCCCAGCAAAATCTATTTTACAGTAAAATGACTGTTAAACTTTCACCTAATAAGACAAACAATAAAAACAAATGATATTTACCATTAATAAACCACATTAATCATAATTTATGAAATATCTTGTAACCAAATGCGACAAATCACGAGAAATGTCAATAAATATTCAAAGCGCACACATCTGCACACGCTATCGTTTGACTATTGTCCGTAACTTTGCATCAAGATCAAGTACGTATGTTTCACAACAAATTTCGATCGATTAGACCGAAATATTGAGAAAATAGAACCTTTTAGTCGAACATTAAAAGAAGCTGCATTTATAACTTTACATTGACTGTCGGAGAGTCATGACTTGCATCAACAGATTTAAACACTTTAGCAACAGTTATTTTTCATTTTTTGTTTTTCAAAAAAAAAAAAAAAAAAAAAAGAAAACACAAAAAAAACACAAAAAACACACACAGGAATTATCATACAATATTATTTATAATTAAGGTGGCCTTAATAAATCTTCTTTTCAAATTATTAAAATTTGTTGAATAGCTCTTTTTAGGGGCCACTCCTACATAAACATAAGTTGTATCAACTCAATCTGCACTTTAAGTATTTTTTGTCTTCTTTTCTCTTGGTTATCTTATACCAAAAAACAGTGTTACTTTTTCAATATATCCTTTTCTATTCTTATTCAAGTGCTTGTACAAGAAAATATCAGCTTTTAATAAACACAAATTGTTAAACATTTTATAGTCTGTACTTTACGGTCGCACTTTACGTAAAAATGTCTCTTACCATTTACTTTGCGATTTCTGCATTGTTCCAGATTTACGCGACTGTTTTTTCTGTGGCTACTGAACCGGTTTGTTCCAAATTTTCTTACGAGGAAAAACTTCTCGAGAAAATGATACGCACAGAGATTAAAGTAGAAACAATGCAAAACGAAATAAAGAAAACAGAAGAAACTGTCAAGAATACTCTTGTGGAAATAAAGAATACAGCGTTGGGAATTCACGATAAGTTCGAGAGCTTCAAAGATAATCTAACGGGAGAGACTGCAGCACAAATAAAAACACTACAGGGGGAAACGGAAGGTATGTTTTTTTTTATCAAAAACAGTACTCAACAACTTTAAAGTTTGGCTTTAGCATAAGAACAGATATCCTTACTCAAACATTATCGACCGCCACAGCGTCCAGATGTTTCTATTTAATGCAATGACAATTAAGGTAATCGTTTCAAATATATAATCTTTGTTCTTATCATCAACAAGTATAATTATGCTATGTAAAATGTTATTTTATATTTTTTATTGCATGTAAGAACCAACTTCAAGTCATACATTATTTTTAATTGTCTATATTTTTTCCTGAGTTTAAGATTGGAACATAATCATAATAAAAATATCATAGATTTTCTATACTCATTTTAACAGTATCTCAGATCAATATATCCCCTTACATTCCTTGTAATTGGAACAAAAATATTTTAATATATTTATCCTGGTAATTTCCAAAGAATAGGCAGCATTCTATGAATACAAAATGTAGGTCAGTGAGTAAATACATCATTAAAGTGTAAAATAACAGCAATATAGAAATTTGTAAATCCAAGCTGAGTGCGCAAGTTATCTGTAAATCCTTTTAACTGATTTCACTTGAAGATATAGTTAAATGGACTGTTTTCTCAATCCTGACAAATAATTAACTACATACTGTACATGTTTGTTGTTGTTTTCTTAGATCAACTCGAAAACATATTTGACGAACTGAAAATCAATCTCACGATGAAAGTTGGAAACGAAATGGACAGCTTTGTGGCAAAGCTTAAAGGTTATCTCCTCTTTTTTATATTCTAAATGTAAATATTTTGTAAGATTTTTTTTTGGAAGCTCATAAATTTGTGATAGAATTAAGCATTTTATCAATATAATTTTATACTTGTTTGAAGATACCAGTATCGCATATTTGTAAGTCTCTTAAGTATTTAAGTGAAATGTTTTTTAAAACTAATTTTTGCGTAAATCTGGTTTATAAAGTTCTTTTCTTTGAACTGTCTTATTTACAAATGAAACTTAAGAATCAATTACAGAATATATTACCGAGCATGCAACATTTCTAAATTAATTTTGCTGTTTTAGGTGTTCTTGAGGGATTCCATTTTTTTCACTATTGTAATAAGTAATGAAAATTGAGGTTTCGTTATGAATTATTCATGCATTATTGTCTGAATTGAACAAGGCATCTGATAAACGGTCATTTAATCGTCTGATGTCATACTGTTACCAGTTTCAATAAAAATATCTATCTTATCAATCATTCAAAAAAACCATTAGGTCTTTTTTGTTCTGGTTATTCTTTTTGACTTTACATATCTATTGAAAAGATGACACACGAATTTTTGACCGTATTTTAAATACGTCCATAGTTACTTCTGAATCAACTGACTTTCCATTAAAATACTGTGAAAGGGATATTGGAGTGAAGTTTAAGATGAGCAGATGGTGTTATATGTGCAAATTTAATGAATTAAACAAATTCTATTATATTTACAGAAACAGTTTTACTGCCAAGTATAGCATTCCATGTTCACAGTCTCAAGGATTTAGTCCTTGATACCATCCGAGAAGTTCTAGTATTTGAAAGTATAATTACAAACGAGGGATCAGGATATGACAAAACAACAGGAATCTTCACAGCGCCTATTGCGGGAGTTTTTTCTTTTCTGTACATGTTTGTACTACAAAGGCAAAATTTTCTCCTATTGGACTAGTCTTGAATGGTACATTCATTACAAAAACGATAAATTATGACAACGATCCTTATACTTGCAGTTCGGTTTCAGCCGTTATAAAAATGAAATCAGGAGAAAAGGTTTGGGTTACATGTACAGCTAGTAGATCCAGTTACGTTTTAAATGGAGAGAACATTCACGTGATGAATACTTTCAGTGGAATGCTTATAAGTAAATAGAAAAAACATCTTTATTTTTATAATACCACCTTACTACCATTTATTTTATCATAAAAACAACGATTTTCTTTGATCAGCACAGTGCAAGTATTTTAGACAGTGACTTATATGCGCAAGTCTCATGTGCCATTTAACAATCATCTAACTCGCATAAAAAACATACACGATTAACTGAAAGTAACTTTATACATGGTGTATATATTAAAATATCATACAGTTTTATATATAATATTATATGGCGTCAACTTTCCACCTGTTAGGACTTCGCCTTGTTAGAAAGGATAAGATACGACAACGCAAGATTTAGTTTGCATCTTCGCCTTTCCGAAATCGAATACAAACATGGAAATTCGATGATAATTTATTGATATAGCAGTTAAAATTGTTTGTGGATTAATACGAATTCATTCCGCAAATTTGCAATTTTTAGCTTGTGTAACCCTACACATACATAAGCATATATTTTACTGTTCTCCATAACAAGACCAGACTTTATTCAAAATGTTCCATACTTTAAAGAACATTTTAATGATTATGAAAGTTTCATGTGAAAATAAAAATGAAATTATATTTTATAAATAAATCGTTTATAGTCGTTCATATTAATATGAATTCAAGTGAAGTCTTGATTTCCATCCTGTCATTTTCTCTTCTAAATGTTTATTTTCCTATTGACGAACTTCTGATGGTGGTGGTTAATGTAGTATATTGTCAGATGGATGCGCTCAATGGTCTGCCTTCATACTGGTGGGATTTGCCTGTCATCACCATTCCTATCACTGGGAGAATTTGTATTTCTGTATCAATTTACGGACCAATATGCCTCCGAAGCCTTTTAAAGCATCATTGAAATATTATTTGAAATTTGTCCAGGCTGTATAACTGTTTTATGTTTTGGTCCCATCATAATCAAACAGCCGTGCTTTCAATCAAAATCATTCTCTACGGTAACGTTTAAGAGAGGAAGTCAAAAAGTTATATATTAGATGAAATGTATGTAAGATATGGACACAATTTTCCATCTGATACAATTCTCAATGGAATTTTCTTTTCAGAAATAATATACATGTATACATTAATAGGTATTGTAAAAAATAAAAGTTATTTCAATCTGTACATTGATTTATAAAGATAAAACTGTACTGAATAAGACCTACCACCGATTCTTGGTGAAACATTACTCTCCTTCAAATTAACAAATGTCGCCTTGGTATTTGCTCGTTTTGTTCAATATGTTATCAGTGGATTTTTTCTTAAAATAAAAATAAAATAAAAATAGCCGTTGCAGCATGTGGGTGAATGGAATGTGAAATCGTTATTGACCAGCACTTCAGTCGGACGAAACAGATGGACAATGACACCTTACCTAAAAATGTTTTATTTTTAAAGATTAAAATTTCAGAAAATGTTGTGTTTTCTTTACTTCGTTGACGCATTTAAGTTTCCTTTTCTTTCATACCTTTGATGCCTTTTAAAAAGCATATTGTAACATAGCTCAGAATCATAGACAGCATGACGCTTTAGTTCTGATTTGTTGCGTGGTAGCTACTTACATAATGATTTATGATCAGGCAGGGAAACATTTTATGGTGTTTTGGTGTTAAGGAATGCCCTTAGTCCTGAGGTACGAGTAAAGCCAGAATCAAATTTGTTATCAAAGGTGTGCGGGTGCGTAGGGGTGGGTTGGGTGTAGGAATATAGAGAATAACTTCCGATTTAAAGGAATATGCAAGTCGGATTAATGTTAGCCACAAAATAGATTCCTTATTATAGCTGGACCTTACAAATATCAATATGCGGTGCATATAAATGAAAAGAAAATATCGTAAATGAGAGGACAATTCGTCAAAAAATACATCCCGTTATAAGTAAAATGAACCTCATCACCGAAAGAAATAAAAATAAATTTGCATTTTTTTATTATAGAAATTTATCACAATTCACGATGCTTTAGAGAATTACATTTTAAACATCAGCAATAAAACGTCATAATTAATAACGTCACATGACGAAAATTTCATAACGTCTGCTGCAAAAATCATAAAAATGACTTTAAACAAAATGACTAGTAAAAGTAAAGTACCAACTAGATAAAATATGTGTTTGATTACCATATAAAATCAACGTTTTTATCTCGCCATTTGCCTATATTACATATGTTGTTTTCCATTTGAAATATATTTCAATTCAATGCAATAACAAGAACTCTACTGAGGTCTTAGTGCATAAAACATAAAAGTTTGTGTTCTTTTTAAAGATCATTTTGGAAACTTTCAACATGACAATTAGTGGGGGCGCGGCCGAGTGATTAACGTGTCGGACAAGTAATTTAGGGATACCTATAAGGATTGCTGACAGTGCGGGTTAAATTTCCGTTGTTTCTGCGAACAAGAAACTTTACACTCATTGCTGAGTACGCATTGGTTCCAGGAACGGATTCGAGAGTGTGTCAATAAGCTTATTGCTTTCAACATAATCGAACTAAAATAAATAAGTACAAACTAAATGACAATTAAGAAAAAGACTCAGAAGCAGTGGTTCCATTGCAGTGGCGGAGGAGCTTTCCGTAACAATGGCGGTGAATCAATATGGCTTCCAGTTCATTTTTCGCTGGCATCGGTATTTTAAAACCGATTTCTTTTTAATGTTTTACCGTTTAACAGGAAGCACCTAGAGAGACTGGAACCCTCTTGTATGTATTCTTTGTCATATATGTAAACACAGTTTGACAAAGGAACTTCGTTTTTGCCAAATTTTGGTTTAAATCAGAGCAATATTTTTACAAAACGCCATCCACTGCCAATGTTGACAGAGTTTGTTTCCTACAAACTTGTTTCGGTCAAAATGATAAGAATAAGAAAACGTGAAATGGCGCAGCAAAGGCGTTCTTTACACATATGAAAGAAGGGAGGCTAATCTAGCCGGCATATTTGGATTCGGCATCGATAAGATTTATCATTCGTTGAATATACACATTTCTGTTCAAAATAAGATAAGCTTTTATCTATCAATTTTGGCCTTCTTTGAAGATGTCTGTGAAATTGGGTCATAAAATTAATCTTTTAACAAAATTATTAAATAAAAATATCAAAGGTATTATCTTTGTCCACAAACTGTCAGTAAAATAACGCGCTTATCTATTTAAAGTTCTCGATAGTAAAGAAAGTCCAGAATACTGTAGAAATTGAAAAAGGAGGAAGATTTCATTTAAAACATTAAATACATGACAAATTTGTTAGCCTTAGATAATGACCGAAGATTTAAACGTTCATAAGGACACATTTCTTTCAAAATCCATGTCAGAGTTATGTGTCTAGAACAGTGACCTTTATGTATAATTCTAAATACTTGAATTAAGTGGTTGTCCTTAACAATTGTATCCCAAAATCACTTATTTTAAAGTACTTTAAAATTTTCGAACAAATTAACTATAGCATAGTTGAAACATTTGTCACAAACATAGTGGTCCTGAGAAATTAAGAGTTGTATAATTTAAAACATAATTTCCTTACTAAGCAAGGAAACCTTACATTTTACGATAATATAGTCATACCCTGCAGTTTTACCTATAAACTAAAAGGATCATTTATGTCTTCCACAATGCCATAATTGAAAGGCCATGACCCTTCATAATGTCGCTGACATAGTTACTTCTTATGGGATTTTAACCGGTACTAAACATTAGGGGACTTCTGTATTGCTAGCAATACTATTTCACTAAAATAGAAGACTGCTGCCGAATGGTATCCATTTAGAATGTGTAAAATGATCAGACAGAACAGTGAAATAAATCTGCACAAATGAACAGAAGAAAATCGCTTTATCATTTGGGATGGATGTTCTCTCGTTAATGTCAGTGAATGAGGTTTTCAATTAGCACATAGATATTTGTGATTTCTATTATAACGTTGACATTTTACCAATGTCTGTCTATAATATATTATTGCAACGGTACGCAGACTGACCCTTTTGTCATGTATATATGTTAGATTATGCTAAAGCTGAAAGAAACAAGTTTTCCTCCCTTTAACACCCTGGATGAACAAGTTTTGTCACGTGACCACTAATGCAAACGCCGATGTTACATTTCAGCAATTACGGACCCGATTTCAGGTAATTATTTGAAGATATCTTTTTTTCTACTGCATCCACAAAATTATGACCTAGACCTTAGGACCCGGCTTTAATTGAGCTTTTATTTTATGCATGTAGTTATTGCGAGGCTTCTGTGATTTTTTAGAACACTTCGACACAAATTTCCTTTTTGGTAGGCAAACGCCGATAGGTTTTACCTTTTCTAATCTTTTTTGTTCACTGGAAACCTATGTTGAGGGAAAATAATAGAAGACATATGTTTTTTACAAGTAATTTTCGTACCTAACTTATTCATAATTTTATTAGCAAGGTTATATTCGAGATAAACCCATGTTTTCCACTTGTTGTCGATTTTGCAAACGTCGTTTGATTATGTAAAATGGGCAAACGTCGGTTGGTCATTTGAAATATATGCAAGCACCGGTTGATGTCTTTTTGAACGCTGAACTATATTTGTCTCACTTCCAGAATTCTTCATCATATTAAACAATTTCATTGCAAACTGTTTCTAATAACATTCTGGCCACTACGCCCATGGTTTCCAGATTTATTGAATCAGTCGGAAGCTCAAACGTTCTGTCTTCTACTGGTTACAAACGTGTTACAAAAACCAAAATCTCAGATATGTCATCCAAATCGAGGTGTTCTGAAATTGACTGCATGATTGCTATCGACAGACAGTTTAGAGAAAAAGATTTTTTCAAA